TTCAGCTGTTCTTCGTTAACGTGACATAAATAGGTTATAATGATTTTCATTCAGTCAGAACTTTACGCTGACTCTAGCCACATGCATCACAGGTAGATTCTAGTAAAGCATTGATTAATGCCTGGCTTTAAAATTAGTTAACTGGACTTGTAGCCATTATTTTGTGCCCATGTGGCTGGACACCACACGGCACGACGAACCCGATCGAACCGTTATACCTAGGGTTTCTGTCAGCTAATGTGTCTCTCAGGTTTTGAAAATGGGCCGACAGTCGGCGACAACTCGTGTAGTGTGAGCTGGACATTACACTAAGGAAATGAGGAAGGGAGGGTCAGTGGAGAGACCGGAGCTGAGCCTGTTTTCATTCAGTGTCATCAACAGAAAGGGAAAAAAAGGCAGGAAGAGACGATAAAGACGATAATTAAAATGAGGTCGATAGGTTTAATTTATCGTCTGATTAATTAATTTATCGTTTATCGCAACAGGCCTAGCTACGTGTTCAGAAACGCTAGAGAAAGAAAATATGAGCGTATTACTACGGGTGGCTGCAACCCAATTCTTTCCAGAACAAGTTTTATAACTGTGCTGTATCAATAAAGGATGGCATAAAGTAGCTGCTTTCAGAGAGTGCAGCTTTGTCCTGCCATGTTGCATTTCTGTGCATCATTGCAATTATTGTGGCTGTTATCAATCATGAGGTTTAAAGCAGCTGTTCTTTTTTATGATTTCTGCTTCAGTCAGAAAACGTTTTGGTCTTTAACACGACTCCGAGCTCAGCTCTGGCTGTTTTTCATGATGTTCCTCATGGCGGTGACTCCACCAATGCACTCTGGGAATTGTAGGCTTTAGGCAAGGAGTAATTATCTGTCTGCCTTTAAATTGATGTGGGCATCTGAGTCTGGAAGAGAAGGAATGAAAGGTCTAATGTCAGCCGCTTTGTGTTTACTTTTAATTCAGTTGTGCAAAATTACAATTTATTAGTACAAGTTGTTTTCATCTTTTCCTTTCGTAAAGTGTAAGATTAATAAAAAAGGTTTAGTCTGTTTAAAATGCTTCCTACATTCACCTCTTTCTGTACTCTAAAAAATATTTAAAGATGATCTTCCTTAGCATTACTTTGCATCTCTATGATTTGCAGGACTATTAAATTTTTTTGTTATCTGGGTGCCTTCATTTTTCCTTTGCTGCAAAGTTGCAAACTGGCAATAAATGTTGCAGTAAGGTAAATTTTCTTCATGACTCCTTTGGTAGATGTGTATTTACAAAATGGCTTCACAGAGCCACAACACTTTTGAATAAGAACCTTTCAGCAGCTTTTTAAATGAAGCTACACTCAAAATAACAAAAAAACCAAAGGAAGCCCAATCTAGAAATAGATCTACTTGAGTTATGAGGACGGTATTTCTGAAATGAACGTTTGGTAGAAGCTGTGGTCAGAAACATTTGAAGTTTGACTCGATGGCCACATTCAGAAGTTAAATTTGTTGCCTAATCAGAGGAAACGAGCTCTGTTGATGTTGAAGTTATTGCCTAAAAATATGCAAATATCTTTTTAATAAGGTTTTGGCTTTGCAATGACAGAAACCACTTTTTAAGATCCTTGAAACAATATATTTTTGTTTCGTCAGTCCAGCCACAGTTATTATAACCTTTGACCTCAGCCTTCCAGGTTTATGTGCATCCTCCATACCTACCTCAGCTTGGTGCATTTCTGTGACGATAACTGAGTTTCTACTACAACTTTGTTGATATTCTGCTAATGTCGAAAAACAAAATTTCACAATATCCATTAAATAAAAAAACTAATCTAAAATTACATGTGGATAAGTTTTCTTCATTGAAAACATGCTTGCCGTCATTCTCCAACTACTTCCTGTTGCCTTCTTTGTCATTTCCACCAGTAGCAACATCCTGTTATGAGACTCGCGTGATGCAAAAAAGGTATTTCCATTGCAGTTTTGCAAAATACACAAATTTTGATAAAGCTGACAAACCCCCTAAACCTAGAGAAAAAACTTTATTGAAAGATATGAGCTTTTGTCGAAATTGGCAGATTTCCATTAATTTTTAGTGTCCACAGTGCCTCATGTAGTTACTGTTTTCTGGTAATGGGCTGATGAAGTTTTCTGACGCTCTAAAGGTTCCCATCTAATTGTTCTTAAAAAGCACAAAGACTGTATGCTTCAGTCTGAGAATAGTCATGGCAGGTGGCCAGCTGAAATTATACCAGGCTGTCAAGAATGAAAGCAAAACACTGGCGCAACTTCAGTCCGATGTCAACAAGTAAAGTTCTGAAGAGACTCTGGTGTTGGCTTTGGTTCAGTGCAGAGCCCCATAGCAAAAGGAAAAATAACAGAAAAACTGTTGAAAAACAACTCAAAACCACTTTTATTCTTTTTTTCTCACTCTCTTTGCCAGCGATGCTATAGACTCGTTGCCATAGCAACTGACAAGAATGCCACTAATGTATCAGGTTTCTAATCTAACACAGCGGCGGTTAATTAGCTAGTGTAAGGTCCTGGTGATAATCTGTCAGAGTTGGTGTGTAGGTCGCAGTTTTTAAAATGTTTTAACTGAACCGAAACGCTGAATTCTGCAGAACATCTAAGTTAATGTTTCCAGAGTCACGCTAGCATGACTGACCTACTTCCCTCTCTATCTTTTTTTTTTGTTTTTTTGGTAAATTAAAACTTTTTCCTGACCTTGTTGCCTGGTTGTCGTAGTATTTGACAATTGGTAGCAAAGTACTGCGTCCCTTTTTCTTTTGTATATCAGGCGCACATTAAAGATTTAGCGCGTTATGTTGACAACTTGGCAGCTAAAACCAATGGTAGTCACCGTTAGCGAGGACGTTGTTAGCTTGATGTCATGTGTCTATGTGGTCAGACAAATAGTCAAAGTTTTTGTGTTAAAAGACAAAAGTGATTTGGCAATCTGCTCTTAGTCAACCTGCCTTATTCCCATGCTGATATTAATGGAAAATGTTTACCAAACTCTAAATCCTTTAATGCAACAGTAAGTGAACGGCGTGTTACTCCAGACATACTATAATACGGTTCATGTAGGATATGTGGAAATGTATAATAGTTTGTTGATGTAGCTGAGTCACCAAGCAGTTGCTCTGCTGTATGTTGGGTTTCTGGCCTGGACTTCCTTCAGAATCCTCTATTTATAGTTTATACTTTCAAACTACAGCTTTGCTTACTTTGCTCAGTAACTATTTAATGAAGTACTTTCAGCAGAAAGTTTAAATCATACAGGATTATAATTGCTTTTCTTGGCCTAAAGACTCTGCCCATCAACTCAAGTTTGTTTGATGCATTTCAGCAACAAGGCAATTCATCATTTACATAAGTTATGAAACAAGTAAAAACTTTACATTTGATAAAATATAATCAAAATCATCAAGAAAATATGTACCAGATGTATTGATCAACGTTCCAGGAATCAAAGGCAACTCGGTAACTCCTAATACTGACATGAAGGAGTCTTTGTAAATGTTTATAACTGTTGTCATGAAGTGTCATTCAGTAAATTATGATGTTTTAAAGCAAAGTTGAAAGTCCATTGTCAACTTAGCATTGTTCAATAAATAATGATACTTTTAAATAGGGCTGTTGTAAACTAATATTTTAGTAATCGAGTAATTTATTGATTCTTCTTATGATTAATCGAGTAATTGGATAAAAACAATTGGTAAAATAAAACATTGGTAAGTCTAGCATAACAGCAGTGTTCCTATCGGATACCAACATCAGTCCTGTTTTTCATATTTGAATTTCCCTAACTTTGATGTAGTTTAGAAAATTAACCTGTAACAATAACAGCTCACTTTCTAAGGTAACCTGAACTAAAGTTATACAAAATCTGAAATTATATTCAACTTAAAGAGGCAGGCTCACAAATACACTTATATGCGTGTGTGTGTCTGTACTCCAGCTTTTAGTTTGTTCATCTTCAGTCAGTTTAATAGATGAACTCTCACCTTACCCAGCCATTTGTAGCTTTTGTGTTCATGTTAGTGACAGAATTTGAAACCTTCGTTAGTCAGTTAACCAAGTTCAATGTATCTGCTCACCTGTATAAATACACCTTTACCACTCTTCCCGCCGTTCACTCTGAACCAGCAGCTCCGGGAGGAGAAAGGCTGCCATACTCCAGGCATCGCTCCTGTCATCTTAAGGATGCTTGTTGGTCCCACGTAAAATGATAAAATCCAAATCATCAGTAAATGAAATCCCCACGGCGGAACCTGAAAACTGGACGTTATGCACTTAGTTTTTCTCAACAACTCAGCCAGAAGTGAGAGTGCTGCGCAACACAAATAATCACCCGGCCGGAACACTGTCACTAAATAATAAAACGTAATTTAACAAACCTTTTCCGTTTAATAATCGAGGAACTCGAATCATTCAAGGAATCGTTTCAGCCCAGCTTTTAAAGCATAAGTTGCATTAAAAGATGCATTAAAAGTGATAGCTTTTCATTATTTGATAATGACACTTTTAAGACAAATTGTCATTATTTTCCAAATGACACTTCAATCAATCAATCAATCAATCAAATTTTATTTATATAGCGCATTTCAAAGTGCTTTACATCATAACAAACACAAAAACACAAAGTCATGAAATATAGAATCAGCCATCAAAACATTACATTAAGTCAATGCCATCACTAAATTCATGATGACACTTATAAACGTTGTGACGGAGACTCCTCCATGTTTGTGATGGGTGTTGTCAATTTTATTCTCAAATAGTTTTTCCGCTAACGCTAAGCAGGAAGTCAGTGTTTCAGCAACTTTGCAGTTTTCTGAAAGTTTGTTCCAGATTAGAGGAGCAGAGAAGCTGATTGCTGCTTCTCTGTATTTGGTTCTGGTTCTGGGGAGAAGACCTGGGCGGTCTGGAGGGTTGCTGTGGCAACGACGGCGGCTCTTTCATGCGTTTTGGTGCCAAGCCGTTCAGTTTATTTCACAACTTCCCTTTGAAATCCAACAGCATCAATTGCAGGTTCTTCAAAAACAGAAACTCTGGTGTCCAAAGTAAATCATGAGTCCCAAGCGCCTCAGCCTTCGAGTTCAGCTTCATCTTAAATTGAGCCTTTCCTGTGAATCACCTGCAGCAGTCCCCAGCACAGAGGCGAATCAGGTACAGCAGTCTCAGTGTAGGTCATTCATAACCAGGATGTTACTCTGCGTAGCTTTTTTATTTTTTTATGCTAGTCTTATCGATTAGGAAGCTGTTTCTTTTCTGCTCTTTGCCACCCTGTGAGACTTAGAGTTCTGACCAGATGAGAAATTTCTGCAAATCACTGATCCAAAGTAAAAACTGGGAGATGCCGTTCGCTATCAATAATTATATTACCTGTGTTGGTTTGGTGAGACCAGATGAATCAACTAATTTACTAATCGGTTAATTAACTAGAAAATACAGACTGAAGAATTGCTGAAAGGGCAACACAGTCAGAGCAGTAATTAGGCCAAAGCTGTAGAAAGAATATTTACATTTTGCGGAAATGTTTATCTGAAACTCAGCTGGCGTAGTTTTGGCTTCACCTGGTTCAAATTCAGTAAAAAATCTCATATCAGGAACCAATTTAGAGATGCACCGATCCAATATTAATATCTGTATTGATTCAATATTGAAAAAAAATTCTAGTCCGGGAATTGGAGACAATATACCTGATCTGTAAGTGCAGATTTATTCAGTCTGATTCTACGCTTTGTGCTCTGAGCGACGTCACACCTTATTGTTTATTTAAATTATATCTAGAACTCCTAACTTTACTTCCTGAACCATTTGAAAGGAAACATTTGTTGTTTATTTTCACATGTTTGACCAAAGCAGTCAACCTGTTGTTTTTGTCAGTTTCCATTTCTTTATTTATTTTTACTTTACCTATTTTGCTGCTAATTGAGCTAATTGAGCTGACTGAACAAATTAAAGCTGTTTTCACATTCTCCAAACTGGAGAAGCTGTCGGTGTGTTTAAGTGAGCTGTCCTGGTGCAGTTATCATGTCTGTGTTTGTTTAATAAAAACATTCAGCTGTTGCTTTTTATTAAATTGCTATCGGCCGATACTAAACTTCAGATATCGTGGATCGGTTCCTCCCTAATCCAACAATTCATCGGTTAATCAAAAAAAATTAGCATCAGATTAGCCATGTGCTGTAATTATGCTAAGGCGAGCAGAAAGTGCTGAGATTTTCACATGTTGATGTTGGAAGTATCTTTTAACTGGAGATTCATCTTTTGCTACAAATGATTTGGCGTTTACTAAATGGATGTGTTTTAGGCAATAAAATGTTTATTATTGATAATAAAGTGAATCAGTTTATACTCTGTTTTTGCAGCCATTGTTTCTGTTTTGCTGCTTTTCTGTGGAATGGTTCTGATTAAAATGTAATCGTTGTGTATTTCGTACCGCTTTCTGTTAGCTGCTGTGTTTGTTTTAACATCTACGTGTTCATGCTGCAGGAACAACCAGAGTAAGTTGTTTTCTCCTCCCTTCTGTCTCTGTTTCCTCAGGGCTTTGACCCTCCTCATCAAAGTGACACCAGGACTGTTTATGTAGCAAACCGTTTCCCTGAGCATGGCCATTACATACCGCAGCGCTTCGCAGACAACAGAATCATCTCCTCCAAGGTATCAGAACCATAAATGTTATGGCCGGAGGACCAACCATTCTTAGCCAATTAGCTTCCCTGATTCAGGCTGTTAAACTCTCCCTTGGCGTAAGCTAGTCTCTGCCACGGTCCCTTTAAGCTTAGCTTTGTTACTGTTGTTTCTTCCAGGCCATAAACAGTATAAACTGATAGAAAATATATTTCATTTCCTTCAGTATAAGTTGGTTTAAGTTGATTTAATTTTATTTTGCCTCAGCAGTGACAGCAGCTGCGGTAAAGGGACGAATGGTCCAGGGAAATCTCCAGTGTGGATCCATTAGCCTTTAGTTTGATGTAAAACGAATGTTTCCAGCTTTACTTGGTGGCAGAGCAAAGCGCAAACCAAAGTGAATTAGTCCAGACTGTCCAGTCTGTCTGCTTCCTGACAGCAGACTGGGATTTTTCATGTCTGATTTATTGACCTGTTTTGATTTTAACAGGAAAAGATTTTGAAAACATTAAGTTCAGTGCTGGAAGAGTAATTTAAAGCGTATTTTGGATTATTTTAATGTAATCCAGATTAATAAACCTTTTCATTCTTTCTCTCTCAGTACACAATCTGGAATTTTGTCCCCAAGAATCTGTTTGAGCAGTTTCGCAGGATAGCCAACTTCTACTTCCTCATCATCTTCCTTGTGCAGGTAAATTCACACACATCGGTTCAGCGAGTGCATGTTTTCCTCCGTCAGCTGGTGATGAGTCATGTGTGACCTCAGCTGCTCTGCTGCTCATATTAGTGTGTGTGTGTGTGTGTGTGTGTCAGTGGACGTGTCATTAACTCTTAAGGACCTGGAGGTAGAGAGGTCTGCCTCGTGTTTTCATTTATAAACGTAAAAAACAAACGCTGCCCACATGTTTGGTAATATTTGTGTCGCTGCGTCCGGCCCAAAGCGCCGGGCTTTCACAACGAATCGGTCAGCCTGCGCAGACGATGGCTTTGGCTCTCAGACGTTTCTGCCGTGGCCCTGATGCTCCAAAGAAATCAACTTGGCTTCGTCTCAGGATTTGTCTTTTCACCCACTCGAGCTGTCGGTGAAACTGAAAACATCTGGTCCTGAAATCTGAAGGAAAAATGGCGAGAAGTGAAGGGGACATTTTCTCAAATGGACAGTTTGAGCTTTTTGGGTCAAATTTATCTCCAAGGGATTCCTAGATACGTAAATCTTTACTCTGACAAGCAAAAAGATTTAGTTACTGTGTGTTTTATCCTTTAACAGTTTAGCCTGTTGCTTAAATGTTAAATTACTGCCAGCTTTAGGGATTCTTCTTCTTGATCTAACAAATTAAATGTCTTTGTTTCCTTAACATCTTTATGTTGAATAAAATAGTTAGAAATGTTCAGCATCACCTGCTCAGGATAAAATAAACCCCATTTTTGGATAAAAAATATTACCACTGTATTTTGTGGTACTATTATAACAATTAAAGTGATAAGTACTCCTTATAACGTGAATCGTTTTAAATACACAAAATAAACAAAAAAAGGACTAGTTGAGACTTTTATCATCCAGTTTTGGGTAGAAAAAGAAAGGAGGAAAATGATAAATCATGGAAATAAAAGTGATTCAGTCTGTTCTAATTTATCCTGCGATTAATTGGTCTATTGCGACGGGTCTAGTCATAAATGTCTCACCAGATGTTGATAGAAATGGGCGATATGATAATCGTACATTATAAAGGAATAGAAAATGTTGACAAAGCATAACACCAATATATTAAGTTATGTGTAACAAAATGGAAAGAGAAAGGAAGAATCTAGTAATTATAAAACATTTCAGCCTCTTGAAGTCAGTAATCTGGATTTTTGATGGTCTGTAAAAAGGCACCAAAGCAATAACGTCTCATAATGGGGAAAACCAACGAGATCTTTGCTCCTGTTGCAAATCATGCTGATGGTATCGATTACGAAATAATTTCTAAACCACTGAAGGTTCCAGTCAGCGCCGTTTGCATCATGATCCAGACGTTAAAGAGAACCTCATTACCCCATAAACCGGCCAGAACCAGGCGCTGCTGCAAGATTTTACACACATTAATTTCAAAACGTCCAAGATTTTCAAACGCCTGGAGACCAAAGATATGAGGATAAATAACCTGTGGCAGGTTCGGTGCAAACCACACAGACCTGTCACGATAACAGGATGATAAATTGTCCCAGAGGTTACTGCAATAAACAATAATGTTGTTAAGAGAATAATTTCAAGTAATATAATGGCTGAGTAACAACGCAAGAACACGATTTTAGAGATAAACTCTAAATTCTGATGAATTTAACACGGGAACTGGAAGACTCTTTAAATAAACAAAATAAATAAACCAAACAGAAACAGCAAATAAATGAATTATGAAGTCTGTAAGCAAAATTATCCTTCAGGAAGGGGCAAGCCGAGGCCAAAACACCAGACTGAAGACTTTTATCATCCAGTTTGGTAGAAGAGAGAAAAACAATAAATTATGCAGACAGAAATTATTCCACTTGTTTTAATTGATCAATTGATTAATTGATTCATTGCTTTTTGCCTGACCACACAAACTGATTTCATTCACCAACGTTCAGAGGTCAGATGGGAAATCTCACTAAACCTCGAGACCAAACGTGAGCTCAGAGTAAACAAACATGGCCGACGGTGAGGAAAAAACCCCGACACGCCAACGTCCACCAACCTTTCTGATGCGCCATGGCAGCAGTTTTACTTATAAATGCCTCCATGTTTCAGCCAAACGGCAGAACAGTCAGGATTTAGAAGAGTGGATTAAAATCCCGCCTGAATGCATGCGACTGGTTTCTCCATACGGGAGCCATTTTGAAGACTTTTGCACCAAGCGGTAAATGCATTTCACTAAGTGTTGTCATACTTTCCTCCTTTACCTTTTAATTTTATTACTCATAACTGAACTTATGGACATCTGTGGTCTGATTGCTTTGCATGGGTGGATTGAATGGGTTGTTACTAAACATCTGGTGATAATTTCATGTCAAATCCACTATTAGGAACATGTTTACTTAGAAAATAAAACAGAAATGATGCATTCAATACCTATTTCACCCCTTGCAGATCTTTTTGATGTAAATGTGGAGATATGTGCAGTAATTAAAAAACATTACATTGTTGTATAGTTAAAAACCAAACATGAAAAACATTTGTTTACACCAATGCATGCAGACAATGCAATAATCCAGGAAGTGTTAGAAAAATGTATCAGATACTGATGTGATGCAGTTCCTCAAAGCCTTGCAGGAAATTAAATACGAGCTGGCGGTCGAGCAGCTCTGAAGAGCCAGATATGTGTCGAACTCACGACCTGTATATACGTTTGTTTTTGTTCGGTCGCCTTCAGTCTGTGCATTTCCTGTTTCATAAACCACCTGCTTGCGCCCAGGACAGACAACTTTAAACTAAACTAAAATCCTAGCCAAGGTTTTACATTTACAGCTGGACTGTCGCATTATTTTAGAAATTCACTTGAATTTAAAGTCTAACATCTCTTTATTTAAAATCTAATGATACTTTAGATGTTAAGATCTGATAAAGATAAAATGTCCCAGCTGTCGTCGTTGTTGGGACATTTGCCTCGGCCGTGACCTCTTCAGTGACTTTAAGAAAGCAGAGTGTAAACACATGCATGTGTGGCACTTCCTCAGCTGTGCCAGTTAACACTTGAGGGAAGTTTGTAGAGATTTCCTGTTTGATGCTGCAGCCGCTGCTTCTCTCGTTTCTGCCTGGTTTCTCTGTGAAAGGCGACGCCCAGCTCCGCTCCGATGATGGCGGCTCGCTGCTCCACGTTGTTCACGTCTCCACTCCCATCATCTCTCTGTTTCTTTGCAGTTAATGATAGACACTCCAACTTCCCCAGTTACCAGCGGGCTGCCTCTCCTCTTCGTGATCACAGTTACGGCTATTAAACAGGTGAGAACAGAAGTAAACATTCGCTTCCTCTTGCTTGTGTCGAAAATGTGGAACTAAAACCAAAGTGCTTTATTTCACTCTGCTATTTGGTCTAGTTTGTTGTTCAAATATCTTAGTCCACTGAAAATAAGGAACAAATACATAACACATTTTGCTGGACAGTAAATTGTCCCAGAAGTTATCACGATAAGTGATAATGATGATGGAAGAACACATGCTGAACGTTCAATAAACTTTAATTTTTAACACTGGAACTGTTTTACTTTTCTTTTCTCTGCAGGGCTATGAGGACTGGCTGAGGCACAAAGCGGACAACGAGGTGAACGGAGCTCCAGTGTTTGTGGTTCGCAGTGGGAGTCTGGTCCAGACGAGATCCAAAAATATCAGGGTGAGACTGCAAGAAAAACACCATAACAAACACTTATTTAAGTTCTGGTTCTGCTCTGCATCCCCAGAACCAGAACCAGACAGGGAGAAGCAGCATTCAGTTTTTATGCTCCACTAATCTGGATCAAACATCCAGAAAACTGAAAAACGGCCAAAGCGCCGACTCCCGTTAAAGGGGCAGTGTTATGTAAACTTGACATTTTTGAGCTTTGCTTCATGTTATGATGTTATTCCCTCATCATAAGCAGAACTGCCTTTATATTATCTGTTAAAAAACTTCTAATATTAATAAAAACTAAAAGGTTTGAGCAACAGGATTGAATCTTTGTAAACTATCGGTACATTTATTGTGACTTTCTGATACCGCCAACCGTTTCAACAGCACAGTGCAATAAAAAACTTATCCCAAAACACCAACCTTTGTTGTTGCTTTAACTCTGTATGTTCAGGTTGGGGACATTGTCCGTGTCGCTAAGGATGAGACGTTCCCAGCTGACCTGGTGCTGCTGTCGTCGGATCGCGCGGACGGCACCTGTCACATCACCACAGCCAGCCTTGATGGAGAAACCAACCTGAAGGTCCGTCTGCAGACTGTAATCAAATCAACGTCTTTGCATGCACGCCTCTGCGTCAACCAGGACCATTCAAATGAACGGGTCCGTCTTCTGGAAGACGAGGGTGGGGACGCAAACGTGTGCTTCCGGTTTTTCAAAATAAAACGTACAACCATCAGCATAAAAGGACGCCAAAATCTAGAATATGAACAGGGTGAATGTAATTTCTAGGCTCAGTCACTGCAAAAACACAAAATCTTACCAAGTATTTCTGTGCAGGTTCTAGTGCAAATATTTTTATACTCTTAAAATAAGACAAAATTAATTTACAAGTAACTTTTCTGCAAGGTATAGGAGCTTGTTTTCAGTAAATAATCATTTAATACTGATGAAAAGTTCCAGTTTCACTGGCAGATTATTTCACTAGTAAGATATTTTTCCATGTTATAAGTGAAATAATCTGCCAGTGGAAATCAGTATTAGGGAATTATTTACTTAAACTCCTAATCTTGCTGAAGAATTGCCTGTAAGTTAGTTTAGTCTTATTTCAGGTCTTTTAAGATGTTTGCGTCATAAATGTTTGGTAACATTCTGTGTTTTTTGCAGTGTGCCGGTCCGTTCTTCACCCTGTCCAGCTGTTCTTTGAGCCTCTCTTACCTTTTATCTCGATCATTACTGACCTGTGACTCCTTCATAAACTCGATTAGATGCAGAGTGAACTTTGACCTCCTCATGTGATCAAAGATAGTAGATAAATTATCTACAGGAAGCCTCCATTAGTTGTTTGTGCGTTTTGTTTTGACAAAAAGAGCAACGGCTGATTTTCAGACTTTTTCAGAGGAAAATAAAATCTGTTCCACATGTAAATATCGGCTGATCACCGATTTAAAGGAACCGATCAGGACCGATCAATCTGTTCAAATCCACTTATACTGTTCATTATTATTTATATACTGCGTCTGCTGTAATGCGTTTCAGTATTTATATGCACACATTTGCTGTTTTTGGAATATAATTCACAGAAGCAGAGGTTTGTCTTACTGAAGGCCATGATTACACATCTTACTGGACGACAAATTGTTCCAGAAATTACTGCTGTGAACGATAATATTTGATGTTTTGAGGCTATTTTCAACTAACATATTGATAATTACATAATAATGTAAGTTCACTCTCTCCAGTAAACTTTAATTTTGTACAGAACTGGAAGACAGTGTCCAAAATAAAACACAAAAACATTAAATAAAAAGTAAATAAAACCCACACACAACCGAAACCATAAATAAAATGGATTCTGATCCCTATAAAGAAATTTGGCCTTCAAAAAATATTAATTATAACAATGACAATTATCGACCTCAATTTAATCTGTCGTGCAATTAATTAATTGATTAACTGTAGATGCTCGCCTAACAACATACCAACATTTATTTCCTGTTTTGTTCTTGTCTCAAAGACAAAAATGGTTTTTACTTCGCAAGAACAAAAACTGTTTTCATTTTATCTGTTAGTTGTCAATTTGCTTGTATATTTATTTAAAAGCTTCTCTAATTTCCCATCAATATTAAACTTTGATTTTCTTGTAGACCCATTTTTCTGTGCCAGAGACGTCGGTGTGTCAGTCGGTGTCCCAGCTGGAGGCCTTGCAGGCCGTGGTGGAGTGTCAGCAGCCAGAGGCCGACCTCTACAGGTAACTATGCTTTTATTTAAACGTAATACACTGTATTTATCTATACGTCGTTCTACAGGTAACTACGCTTGTATTTATACATTTTATATGTAATCTATGCTTTTATGCACACTTCTTTCTACTAGTGGTGCACCGATTGCAGTTTTAATCGCCGATTTCCGATCTTTAAAAGGCCTGACCTGCTGATCCCGATTTTGGCCGATACCAATTTTTGAATAAATAAAATAAAAAATCAAACTGAGATTGATTACATGAACGTATTTATTCACTATAGACGTTTAGGGTTAGATTGTCTTTATTAGTTGAAGGTCAGGCGGTTTAGTTAAATGTTTATTCAAATGTTGATGTGAAACGATTTCAAAATGCCTTTCATGTTGCTTTATAAATAGTTATTTTTCCTCAGCTTGAAGTTGTATTTTTTGTTTCCACTCGGTGGTAAGACATGTTTTCTGCCTTCCAGGTTTGTTGGACGTGTAACCGTGACGCAGCATGGCGAAGAGATCGTCCGGTAAGTTTTATCCAGTTACTCCTCCCTCTAAAGCTGAACAAATCAATCAGCCAGAGGTTGTAATTGGATCCTGTTTCCTTAATTGGTTCTAATCACAGATCAGCAGGTGGAAAGTCTTTATTTTTTATTCTAATAGATGCAAATAAATGACAAAAAACAAAGCGCTCCTGTCATTTTCTGTTCTATAAACATCTGAACTAATTACTGTTATATAATTGAGTTAATTGAAAACAAGATGGAGGTTAGAGAAATAAATTAGGACAAAATAGTAAAACCTTTGTTTTCTTCTGGATTCTGAAGAGCCTGCTTCATATTTTACTCATTTGTACTAAAGTCCAAAAACTAAACCGTAATTTTCAGTTTGGACGTCAAAGTTGGCTACAGATCAGCCTGATTGGTCTCCTGTATTTCTGTTAATTGCCAATTTATTGAACCAGCAGGAATTTATAAAATAAATCAGAATAAGGCTGGAATTAGGTTGATTACTACTACAGCTTGAAACATTATGATGCAGTAGAAAGAAGTTAAAAAGATTTAGCATCTCGGTCACACACTTCTCTCATATTTGGCCCCAAATAGTTCATAAAAACAATATCTAAAATTAAGTGATTGCTTGGATGCATTTTTATGCTTTAGGAAGAGGAGATGCTGAAAACCTCAAAGTAAAAATAAATGTTTTAATTAGAAATGTAAGAAAAATAACATTTTTAATACCGCCACAGCATGTTTTAGTTTGGGTCATAAAATGTTTGGACATTTAGCAAAAATATGGCCAGATTTCTACTCCTTCTGGTGAAGACAAGAAATTATTGTCTGTTGTTTTGTAGTTTTTTTTTAGTGAGATCTAAATTCAAAATCTGTTAAATCATTCTTGATTACATCAACCTGTCCAGCGACTGCAGGTGGGAATTCGAATATTTTGCTATAACCTGGTGCCACGCATTTATTTCTCCTTTTGAAAGGATAAATAAACAGTCATACAGTCACTGACCGATGCTGTTAAGCAGTTGTCAAAAGTGTCGCTTTTTAAAAGACTGATAACAAATCCAATTAGCATCTGATTGATTTTGCTTAGCGTATTTGTAACTTGTCTTTACTCAAGTCACTCCAACAAAAAGACACTGAGAATAACATCTTCTAAACTTAAATCTGAAGCAGATTCAACACATGAAATTTGCTACAAAAACTAGTTGTTTAACTGAACGTATCAAACCAGACCAATGAAAAACACGCCAACGTTTGTGCCTGCTGAGCCAGATCTGCCCAACATTAAAGATAAATGGAAATACTTGTTTACGATATCCTCTTTCTAAACCAGTTCTGTTTCCTTTGTTTTCTTTTGTTTTTAGACCGCTGGGTCCAGAGAACCTGCTGCTCCGAGGGGCCAGGTTGAAAAATACCAAAGAAATATTTGGTGAGTCTGAAAAAGAGAGCAAAGCAAAATACATTGTCCCAGAAAAGACAAAGATAAATAAATAACTTTATACATGATCAACATCAACACACAGTATGACTGAAAGAAAATTCAGTATATCGAATATTCACTGATGGCAGCTCAACCTCTCACAGCTAGCTAAGCTATTGGTAGCTTCAGCTAACTCACTCGCTCTTTGGTTGCCTAGCAACAGCATGCTAGGTAAGAAGCAGCCTCAGGTTCCTCCTAACTCCGGTTACCTAGCAACGGCCTGCTGAGTAACTAGCGCAGCAGCAGCTTCAGGTTTCTCCACAGCGCCTCCGAAATGTTTTAAATAAAAAAACAACCCAGTGGGGAGAAAACTGGATGAAACAGGAAAGGTCAAGCTACAAGTTTGGCAATATTTCAGATATTTAAAACAAAAAACCAAATCAGTACTTATTGATAATGACTGATATGAAACGGTTGTTTCGTGAGCGAAATCATCTGGTGTTTTTTGACCGTTTGGTTGGTGTAATTACCTGGACCTGCTGTGCTGTTGCAGGTGTGGCTGTTTATACAGGGATGGAATCCAAGATGGCGCTCAACTACAAGTGCAAGTCCCAGAAACGCTCAGCTGTTGAGAAGTATGGTGCTTCCTTCCTTCCTCCCTTCACTCCCCTTTCTTCCTTCCCTCCCTTCCTTCCTCCCTCCCTCCCTCCCACCGGAAGCGTTTCTGTTGGAGGCCTGGTAAACACTGAATCCGCTGTTCCCTGGCAGGTCGATGAACACCTTCCTGATCATCTACCTGGTCATCCTGCTGTCGGAGGCGGTCCTCAGCACCATCCTGAAGTACGCCTGGCAGTCCGAAGAAGAGTGGAACGAGCCTTTCTACAACCAGAAGACGGAGCAGGAGAGAAACAGCAGCCCGGTCAGAACGCCTCTGTTTTCCTCTCTGTTGCTGGAAAAAAACATTTTCCACTTGTGTGTCACCAAAACACACCAGACCTGTTTTAATTCTGATTAGATGGTGATCAAACCTCCCAGCACACAGAGCAGATTCAGTGGTAATAAAGTATAAAAACTAGTTTCTAATCGTTGTAATGCCTATCTGCAGTTCTGGTTGCTCACACACCTGCAGGCTGGCCGTGTCTCATTATCAGTTTTCTTTTTTCTTCCTCACAAACAGTAATAACTTCATAATAGGATCATCAGTAATTTTGTTTATTTCTTTCTTGTTTTTTTCTTTTTATTTCTTTATTTTCTTTTTAAGTTCTTTTTCTTTTTTGTTTTCTCATTCTTTCTTTCTATTTCATTTTCTTTTCTCTTTTGCTTTTTCTTGTTTTTTATGTGACTTTCCTTTTTCTTTCTTCCTTTTTCTTTTTTTCCTTGTTTCTTTCTTTCTTTCTTTCTCAGGTCGTTCTTTTTATCATGTTTTTAACAGATAATTTTTCTCTGGTCCTTCTGCAGATCCTTCAGTTCATCTCAGACTTCCTGGCGTTCCTGGTTCTCTATAACTTCATCATTCCCATCTCGCTCTACGTTACTGTGGAGATGCAGAAGTTTCTGGGCTCCTTTTTCATTGGCTGGGATTTGGACCTGTACCACGAGGAGAGCAACCAGAAGGCTCAGGTCAACACGTCTGATCTCAATGAGGAGTTGGGACAGGTAAGAAAGAAAAACAATTAATTACAAAGTTTCAGCAAGATATATGAACTTGTTTTAAGTAAATAATTCTGTAATTTTGATGAAAAAGTGCTAATTTCATTAGATTATTTCATTTGAAACACAGGAATAATGTTACAGGTGAAATAATTTACCAATTGAACCAACAGTTTTTCATCAAAATTAGGGAATTATTAACTTAAAACAAGCTTATATATCCTGCTGTAAGTTAGTTTTAAGGCTCTAAGATATTTACATTAGAAACTTTTCCAAAAATTACCTGGTCAAAAAATAAGAGCATTAAACTATTACAGGAAACGCCAACAAGCATTTCTCCCATTAAAGGGCTTCATCGTTTGGCTGGTCATGAAAGTATATTATTCAGGTGATAAATTGCTCCAGAAATTATTGCAATAAAACAATGATATTGTTATTCTTCCAAGTAAGATAATGATAATAATGGTGCAATAATAATGCAAGTTCGTGCTCTCATACAGAACTCATACACTGCAACCGGAAGACATTTTAAATATCCAAAATAAAACACAACAACCAAAAACAATAAATAAGAAGAAATTAAAAACAGCTGAAACCATAAATAAAAGGATTCTGAAGGATTTGTTGTCATTTTTGTTTTTTTTTCTCCCTGCAGGTTGAATATTTGTTTACAGACAAGACGGGTACGCTAACAGAAAATGAAATGCAGTTCCGCGAGTGTTCGATAAACGGCATCAAGTACCGGGAGATGAACGGCAAACTGGTACCAGAGGGGATGACGGGGGATTCACCGGGCGGCTCCTCGCCTCAGCTGGTAATTCACACCAAACTGCTGCACAAAACTGGTTTTATAGCTCCAGTAAAAACATGAAAACGGTTCAAGACAGAATTCTCCTTTTCTCTGCGCTGAAGTGTCCAGATTTCTCAATGTTTTCATTTAGTCTCGTTAAATGAATATTATGGAAAAGTTAATTTATTTCAGTAACTTTAGTCATTGAGATTATTCTTTTAGATTATGATAATTAGGTTAAGGTCTGATATTTAGAATTTGGACAGTTTTGTTACAGAAATGTATAATGATCTGCTCACAGGTTATTTTCAAGAGGTAAATTTAATCTGACAAAGGAACGTCATCCTAATTTACTATTATCTCCTGAATTAACAAAAATGATTGTAACCTGGTCCTGATTCAAGTCAGAGAAGGGATGATGAAGGAAAAGCTGCATTTTTCAAAATAATTTTGCTTTTAAGAAAAGAAGCGAGAAAAACAAAATATAATTCAGAAATCGGGTCTGACATGAAATAATCTGTCTCTAGCTCTTAATCCATGTCAGAACGTTGTAGCTTTAAATGCTGTTACCTGATTTATTCTCTATTATTTTTGTGTATATGTAGTTTTTTTCTGAATCAGTGGTTAAAATATAATTTAGTTACACAATGTTTATGCAGATTCTGGTTCCCCATCATGGCTGATTAATTTGGACCAGAATAATCTGCTTGTTCTGCCCAAGTTACAGAACAAGATGTGAACTCTGTCTTTTTTTCCACCGTGTTTCGTCCAGATGAGTGAGGAGTTGTTATTCCTCAAGGCCGTGTCACTGTGTCACACCGTCCAAATCAGCTACAACCAGTCAGAGTCCTGGCTGGGAGGGGATCCGTTCTCCCACACCAACAGCTTCTCCTTCAGCCACATGGAGTACTACGCCGCCTCGCCGGATGAGAAGGCGTTGGTCGAGGCAACGAGGAGGTGAACACCTTTAAACTCATATTTTTTCTAATATTTACTGCTTTAAAGGGGAGAATAATGGGTAAAATCAACTTTGTTTGAGCTTTGACCGAGCTTCCGTCTCACAAAGCAGCCCTCCCATTCAACTCCACCAATCGGCTCCTCCAGACTAGTGGCAGCAGCAGTTAGCAAACGTCTGATACAACTGTGCATCTGCTGAGCTCATCGTATGAACTATTTCTCATTGAAATGTTAAGAGCGGTTCTAAACGGCATAATGAGAAGCACTGTTGTAAAGACGTACTGAAAGCAGAGTGTCAGAAAGAGTAGGAGCTTCTTAAAGAGACAGAGGCCAATTTCAAGGGAAATTTCAATTCACATTGTGCGTGTTTTTGTCATTCCCAGCACTTAAACATTTTCTGGCAATAAATTCATGTTTTTTTTTTGGTGTCCGGAAAACGAGTAGTTTCAAAATCCTCTCG